TCTATCATCCCAAATCACGGCAATGCAAAAGCAATTCACAAACTATTAAAATTTCACTGCAATAAAAGATGTAAACAACTGTATAGCAAATTCCTTTAATAATACTCTCAGCTATATTGCCAAAATTGAGGTAGTAAAAACGTACATCTTCACTTAAATTTACTTTCAAGATCATACTAAAACATAAACATTCTGCACTGAAATACAGCTTTTCTTGCATTTCACCTCAAGGATATGCTTCCATGGACATTACATGAATAAATGGTTAGTAAATGCAATGTTAAATGGATCACTTTTCATTTGTGAATTGACTGGATGTAAGTGAACTTGTCTGCCAGTGTTTACATCACAGAAAACCTTCTTTATGTAAGAAGTGGTGAAATAAATCCTTATGTTGAAGACAAAGATTATTCTTCCCCTTGTCCTCTCGCAATTGTAGCAGTGCCTAGCAAAGTGGCATCCTCTGCTGTAGCAGTATAAAAATGCGTGGTCTCACTGAAACCAAAAGTTTTAGATGCTCCAATCCAGCTCTTCACACCTTGTCATGATATGATCAGTTCCCCTGCCTTGAAATAAAGAATTGCTCTAGTCAAAGGTGGGTTTGTGTCTGAACATGAGAAGAGAGAGGTCTGTGTAAAGGCGTCACTGAAGGTATGTTACACTTCTTAACGCCTAACTCTGCTGAAGGACATCCTCCTTCCAACACACGTGAAATTCTGCTGTTGTTTATTGTGAGGCAATGTCATGATACAGGAACAGATGTCTCCAAAGCAACACGGTGTCATTTTTCTGCTAGTGAAAATCTGAGAATTAAGAGGTGGCATAAAATACTAGCAAAGGATGATTTAAATCAGAGCTTCCATTCCTGACATCATGACATAAGAATCTGAATACGGAATTCAGTACAATAAATCATTAATGGTTCTTTAAATATCTCAAAGACACATTATGTGTCTAGCATCTTCTTTGAGAAAGGCAGAGAAAGGAGAAGCAAAAGAATCAACAGTATGTATTGGTTTAAGATTCTGGAGCTTTGGGAGAGATTTCCAGAGAATCTTGCCTGAACAGGGAGTAAAAGTAATGAGAGACACTGCTAGTGACAGAAGTGTTAAGAGCTAATGGCATCCAATCACTTGTTAAAAATGGGGAAATCAAGGGAAAAAAAAAAAAAAAAAGAATAATCCAGCTGTACTGGCACCAGGCTGGCACTGTCTCATACACCAGCCTCACAGTGCTGCTGCAGGTTTGCACATGACTCAAAAGGTTTTATTTCTTTGTCTTAGGAAGCAGATGGCTATACCACAGAGAATGGTAATAGCTGCTGGTGGGAGTACTTGACAGAAACTGAAGAAACATAATCTTCAGGTAGATAATAATTAACAGTGACACTCAACTTCCCTGGGATATTTGAAATGAGATTCAGTGGAAATTTTGCCAAGGGGTTAAATGTGTTTGTGTATGTAGTTCTTGGGTGAAAGAGTAATTTGGTTTGCAATATTACACATTTTTTCTACTGTGAACAATTAACAGAACTGCCTTTTGAAGCAGGAGACATAAGAACAATGCACAATTTTAGAGGTCAGAAGGTTTAGGAGTACTCTCTCTCTGCACAAGTTCATAGCACACGTTCTTTAAATTGTGGGGACATAGCAGCTGAAAGTTACTGGCTAAAAATAACTAAAGGGATTGTTGAGTTTATCATAGAAATAATAAAATAATGGAGACATAATGAAGTGATTATGCTTTGTTACATGATCTAAAACCACTCCAGTGTATTATGTGCATGTTTCCCTTGTTTATTCATCTGTAAACTCAAATGGTTAACCTTGGTTTATTTTTCCTCAGCTCTCTTGAGGCTGAACACTGCATCAATGACAAATTGCTGGGTACATGGGTGCAAGAAAACAGGTTATTTAGAGCTGTTATGATTGTTCCAATTTCTGTTTAAAGAGGCCAGTAAAATTTCATAACTGAGCCTGAATGGAAATATTAACTCTGGACTGAAAACAGAAAAGCTGTTTGGGGAACAGGAGGGCATGAGGGAAAGGAAGCATTTAAATCATCCTTGAGATATGGTTAAAGACCCTGATTAATTTGTGAGGAACTTAGACTCTGGTTGTAGCATAATTGGTGTTTTTCTTCTTCAAGTCATGCTTGGCCAACACTCTGTCTTCAGCAAAGAAAATGAAGCTTGCAGGTCACAACCCATGTGAGAGGTTTGATTTTCATACTCTCTACTGCACAGATGCTAAATCAAGGTAATATGCTGCAGTTTCTTTTCTGCTTGTGAGACTAGATTGGAACTGGGCTCAAATTTCTGAATGCTGAATTTTACCTAAAAGTATTTTCTGCAGTGTTTTCTCATGTTTTGTTTCTTACAAGGCATATATGTCACTTGGAATATGAAAAAATTGATGCTTACATGAATTAAAGGTAACCTATAGGCTGACAGAAGCATATTTATTACCATGAGGAAAGTGACCACTCATAACAGATGCAAGTTTAGTGCAGTAACTGCCATCTGTTGCATAAAAAAAATTTAATGTATCTTAACTTCATTTTTCTTCTGCTCATTGGTTATTCTTGTCTTTGGTTAGAGCTTTTTTGTGGGATGGGGACACTACATGTGTTTTTACTCATAACTACAGGTGAAAGTCTGTTCACCAGATGTGCCTAAACAGCTGCCTTTTCTTGGAGAAAACATGGTGCATCAGCTTGAGCTGTGAAAAAGACCTGACAGCTCAGCATCTCTTCCTGCATGCAGCTGGTGGTGCAATGCTGTCAGTGTGCATGGGCCCATCTGGCAATACCTGGCCTTGCTGCACCCTGAGACCCTGCTGCCTTCCCTGGGGTGAGAAGGTGGGGAAGCCCAGCAACATGGGAGAGTTGGAGGTTGCTCCTGTGGCAGTGTGAATAAAGGGCATGAGGCAGGGTGAGGGAGGAGAAGGAAATTGCACAGACCTCAAGTGAGTGGAATACAGAGCACCTTTTATATTAGTGTGGGACTTTCTGCCTTGTTTTGTTTTGTTGTTTGTTTTTTTTTTTTTTTTTTCTACACAAGCAGTGGGTTTGAACAGGGAATTAACTTGCAGGGCTGCAGCTGTTGCAGAACTGCTGCTTTGCTATTCAAATGTAAATGGTTATTCAATGATATTCAAACTAATAACCTTGTTATGAGAAGCAGACCATCTTTGCTGTTGCAATGGAGGTTTGCCTGAGCACCTGTGAGAGAAAGAGCATGGGCATTATGCTCAGGCAAGGCCACAGCTTCCCAGCTGTGCTGCTGTTCTGTGGATGAAACATGTGATAGGGCTTGCAGCAGGTTCACCAGACTTCTTTTGCTATTTCTGCAGAAGGCTGTTATTGATACCTGAAGCATGGCATGTGTGTGGGAGCACATCCATGGCATGCATTTCAAGGTGTAGTTTATATTGTATACAACTGCTTGTGAGGAAGCATTGACTCTAACACATGTTCTTGCCACTTTGCAAATTCTGGAACATAAATAAATTTAGTTCCTGGCCATAAAAACAAACAAATAATCAATCAAAGAAACCAACCAACCAAAAAAATAAAAGGAGAAATATTTTGAAAAATTGTCAGACTGGACCAAACAGTTCTCTCCTAAAAACTGTCCCACAGGAGTCAGTTTGATTGAAAGGAAATGCAGGAGGTCTGAATGCAATGAGGAACATGTATTCTTCAAATGCTCAAGTTTAGCAGATAATAATGTCAGCCTTTGGTCTAACAGCTAATTCCTTATGGGTCCTTTATTTTCTTTTTCACAACTGAAGTTGCAGTTTTGCTATACCAGAACAGATCTGGCTGTATTAATATTTAAAGAGCCTGGTTGTTGGTGGCAACTGATGCAGTGCCTGGGAATCTAACAAGTTCAAAAGCAAACTCACAACCAGCCAAAAGAATATTTTAAAAATAAATGTTTGTTTCTTGAGAAGCTTGAACTGATGGGTGGAAGCCTGCTTTTGCATGGTAAGTATTGTGTTTTAAAAGATTATGTTTTTATTGGCTAAGAGGTAATTTTAAAATTCTGTTTTCACTAAGCTCTAAATTCCACTTTCCCAAATATTGTTTTCATTTTCAATTGCTGCAGAAGTTTGGTGGATTTTTTTACTAGTTCTATCTTAGATACAAGGTATTGAGGTATTTCAGTTAGGTTTTATGCTTTATGACTTCTTTTCTGATTAATTAACTGAACTATGCTTTCAGGTTTATATTCTCTAAACATTGTTTTCACTGTTGAATGATAACAATGATCAAAGTTTGTTTCAGGCAGGCAATATTATTTCCAAGCAAAGCTACCTTAACTTCAGAAATAATATCATAAAAGCTTAGCCAGACTCTGCAGCAATTTCAACATAAAAAATAGCTTGGTTTCGTTTTAATTTTACAGTTGTGTACCTTATCATTAGATCATGCCTGTTCAAACTTTAGGATGTATTTTTATCTACAGGGGTAAATATGGTTTGCACTGTATGAAGAAGCAGTTGTGGAGTGAAGAAGCAGTCATAAACCAAGGCTGATTAAGGAAAACCTATACTCAGGTATATAGATAATATTTAAATAATTTATGCAAATCTACAAATCTCTCCTATGTATTTTCTACCAAATATCACATTTCTTAAAGTAACTCCAAATGTTAAATTCCTATAGTCCTAAAGAACTGCTAGAGAAATTTTAGAAGGAAGGAAGCTTTTGTGTCAGCTGTGATTGATCACCAGGTGAAAACCATAATGAAGAACTCTTTAATAGATTTAGCACACTCAGAAGAGCTGAAAGAAAGAGGCATTAGGCTTCATTAGCTATGGCTGTAGCTGTTAAAGGTAGTGTTGCTGTTCTGTGAAAAATCCTTCGGTGTGTTGTGGTCGACTAAATAGAGTATGTGCTGGCTCATACTTGAGAAACCAGGAAAAAAGAATAGAAAAGTGGCATTGATTCTACCTGCATTTCTGCCAGCACAGACATTAAAATGCCCAACATACTGTAGGCCATAAAGGACCGTCCCATATGGATGGAGCCGAATCATTCGGTTTTTCACCGTCACCCCATGGACAAATGATTTCTTGTCATTTTGGAAATACGTGTCCGGCACCCAGAGCTGGTCAGCCACTCTGTTGTCCAGAGTTAAGTTCAAAGGAATTCCAGAGTAAGAGAGCCTTTTATCCCTCCAGGACTGCTGAAAGTACATGGTCAAGGTGTAGTCCTACGGAAGAAACAAGAAAGGCTTTTTGTATTTTCATACTGATTGACTGACCAGAAGTTTATTTTTGGATGAATCTCCATTACTGAATATCAGTAGCAATAGGAAATTTAAGGATCATCAAGGCATTGTTACCATTAGGTATGATCATGCGTCTTGGCTTGGTCATATTAGTGTCAAACTTGACACTTATCAATGGCAGAGATGACACCAGGCTTTCATAATCTCATGACCCAGAGTAGAGAATAGATGGGACATTTGGGTTCCAGTCTGTGGATAAAACTTGGTTTCTAATTTTTTTTTTAATGTGAAAATATTAGTGTTTACCTGAGCTCAGCCAACTAGCATTGCATAGCTTTTAGGATATTTTTCTGATATTTCCTCCTTCTGATATTTCCTCCCTTCACTCTGAAACAGATTCCCCCCACAATCCAGAAAGGCCTAGCCTTCCTCAGAAAGAGCAAATACAACTTCAGAACTTAATGGATAACTTCCAATTCCGCCTCTGCTGGAGTTGCCAAATGTAATGACTCTAGATAGCCAAGCATATCTCATCTCAGTCTGGGAAATGTGGTGCTTTCTGTCCTTGCCAATTGGATTTTACTGTACAGAAAATCAACAACTTGGCTATTGTGTTATAACTCCAGTGAAATACCATTTATGCAGCCTTTCAGCTTTCATTCTGTCTGAAAAGAAATTGCTCTAAAGGCTTGTAGTCTGATTTGCTCTCTTGTATATGTCTTTCTGGGAAATTGATGATTTTAAAGGTAGTCAATTTTTTGAGTGGAAAAACCCATGTACTTTGTAGATCATGGAGTTCTTAAAAGATGAGCAGAACAGCAGTATGTGGACTATTAGTTTTCTCTTTCTCATCTCCTCCCTCAGCGTTGTTTTCAAGTGACAGGTCACTTTGTCACATGTTTTTATGGCAGAAGTGCATCAAAATCAGGGCTATTACTGAAAAAATTGGTCTGGTCAGGAGTAAGATTTTATTTTATGTGATAGAAAACCTTACCTCAGTCATTGTCACAAATCCTATCCTGGACTAATTCTTGAAGAAACAGCATAAAAGCTGTCTGATACAATTTGTGCTTTTCATCTACAGTGGCTTCTTATGATTGTATCATTGCCATGAAATCAAAGCAGAGTTACTTTCTAAAGAGTATTTCTACCTGAAATTTCACATCTAACAGAGCTATAATACAGACTTGCCAGTGAAAGTTGTTAGTAAAAATACTGTTCTTCCTTGCCCTGGGCCCGTAGTTTTCTTTGGGTTTTTTCTTTATGGATGAAATACCATGACTGATGATCAGCGGTTACATACAATGGTACAATCATATCCACTGTCAGCACAGGCCCTAGATTTGCAAGGATTTCATAGATATGCCCTTTTTCAGGCCTGCAAATTGGTTGCTACCTACAATAGACACAAGAGGTTGTATGCTGAAGGTTTGTTCAATTTTTTTGCTGGCCTGGGTCACTAGGAGGAGGTCAGAACATCTTTCCTTTTGAGACCATGCTGGTCAAGCCTGGAACTACAAAGTAATGTAGTGGGATATATGCTACACTTTGCTGAGTAGGTGATTTAATTTAAATAGGGGTACAGAGGAGCAGGAACACCAAGGAGGAATGTTTTTGAATGTACAACTTGAATAGTGGTGGGTTAGAAGCAACAATTAAAGAAAATTTTATCCTTAGCTCCTCTTACATATATACAAAGACCAGGTGGGAATTGAATGAGAGAAAACAAAAATTAAAAACAAAACCTAAAATCAACTAAGTGTAAAAGAACAAAACAAAACCCTCATCCAACACCACAAATACCCCATAAGCTCCCACCACTATTTTGGTGCAGTTTTCATACATTTTATCTGTTTCCTAATCTGCCCTATTTCAAATCGCTTTAGGTAAAAAAGCTTTCATAGAGATGACTGATAAAATTCAAACCCTCAGTGCTGCACCTGCTATCCTCTACATCTTCTGCCTGATCTAGCAGAGCCTATGTAGCCTGCAGCACAGATGGAAGAGAAATTCCAATTATACATAATTATGTTTTCTTCTTCTTACTTTTCTTTATATTTTCACTAGGCCTTAAGGCTTTTGTGGAATTTTTATGCTGTTGTACAGAAAACCAAACAATTGAGAGTGGTGTCTATATAACTGTTCTCAAAGCTCAACCAAGAGAAGAACAGCCACAGTAAGCTACAAGAGATCTTAAAGGATTTGATCAAGAGATAGATAAAGAAATTCTGTCTCTTCACTATGACTACTAGAAGCTGACTTGCTATTTTTAGCATCATAGTCTGTTAAAAAAATTTGTTTCATCCAACTGTGCTTTACACAAAATGCTGCTGTTGGCAACACCACAGTAGAGAGAGTGATCCTCTGCAATTGTGCTGTACTATGGAGAAGTTCATGACAAGCCAGCAAGTGTTAATGAGGAAAAAAAAAATCTGCGCTTAATCCTAAAGGAATCTGTGTTTCCTAACCAAGCAAATTTTCTATTTTTTTCCATTCCTCAGTCCGTGGGCATATTATTAATTCAGTATTTAAATAAGAAAAATAGTCTGATGTCACGATTGTGAGAGTCCCTGTTGCAGTAAATTAATATTTTAAAAAGCATAGTCAAAGACTATTTTAATGAAAAGCAAATTATAGCTGCACTATAATAACCCAAATTTTATAGTTACCAAATTTCTAATTGTTTTTTTCAATGGAATACAGCCTTACCCTTCTCATCTCTCATTGGCAAAGTATTAAATGCTGGCAAGCCATATGGCTAGCCACATCTTGGAGGTTCTTGTATTACATTTATTGTATTGTACAGTGGTGTGAGTGAAGTGAGGATTTAATCACTACTTGTCTTCTACCATGTAAAATTTGCTGGGAATTTTGCAGTTTCAAGCTCTAGACTATATGAATAATATGTCACATCTGTAGTGGTAATTTTCTGCAGAATTTTTTTAGCTTCTTATGAAAGCTTCCCAAGATCTCAAGCATAAGTCTAGATATGAAAATAAATCACACTGTATTTAACTTTCATATTTAAAAAATCCTATTCATGAATTTAAGAAACAGGGCCCAATGTAAAATTAAAAAAGATAATCTGTTTTTGCACCTAGCTGTTCTTTCAAATTATTTCTTTTTAAAAACAATTCATGTTTTATAGAAACACAGCATTTTTTTTCCTAAACTTTACTTTTCATAATTTAAGAAATCTGTAATTCTCCTGAAAAATCATGCTATTTCAGTAGATTTAATAGTGCTGTTTAGGTATCTGATCTAGTTTCCATTTTTTCCATGACAGATTTTAATTTACTAGTATGAGATTTTTTTCTTTCTTAGTAATTGTGCAAATTTCTTATTTCTTTGTATCAAACCAGAAATGTGTACTATAACTAATAAGTAAATCTGTATTAGTGCTTTAATAAAGTGCATTAGGTTGCTAAGACAAATACTTACATGCTAGTTGTAGGTAAGAGAGGTTCTGTGAAAATGTGAGTAAGAGAAACTAATCTATTTAACTCAAATTTGAAAGCTATTTTGTAATCTGAATTTAAGAACCCTCATAGATAAATACTGGCACCAAACCTCACAGTATAAATTTCTCAGTAAAGAAAATGAATGGACCATTGAAGCATATGGTACTTGAGGTCATGAAGGAATGAACAGACTGAAGAGTTACTGTGCAATAATTTTCCTTTTTTAATTGTGTTTTTTTTTTTTTTTTTTTTTTTTTTTTTTTTTTTTTTTTTTTTTTTTTTTTTTTTTTTTTTTTTTTTTTTTTTTTTTTTTTTNTTTTTTTTTTTTTTTTTTTTTTTTTTTTTTTGTTTGGTTTGGGGTTTTTTTTGAGTAAGAATAGATAATGTAAGGGCAAGAACAGATTTTTTCCTTTCCCGTTAAACCTCTGTAGATCTCTGAAACCAGAAGAGATACATTAAAATAACTGAAGAATTTGGACTTGCTGGTAATTTCTACTTTGTGATTTACCAGTTCAGTACAGCAGAATATAATATGGAATACATTGCTATATTATAATCTAACCTTCTGAGACACACAAAACTAGAACTTCACCATGTTTATCAGCTGAATTATGGATTCTGGTGGAATAAAAGATGAGTTCACATGTCTGCTGTACTGCTAGTTGTTTTTACTTTCACAAAGTCCATATTTTAAGGAGAAAATAGGAAATCTTTTAATGTGCAATGTTCAGCTTGGTGGTCTAAAGGACCTTTTTTTTTTCCCCATTTCTAAAATGGCTTTAATCTAAGTTCTGTTATCATTTAATGAACTGAACAGCAGGTTAGCACATTGTGATATATCTCAGTAATACTGAATATCAAAGCACACTTTGAAAGTCTGAACAGATAAAAATGAATAATGTGGATGAAGTTATTAGCAAAAGTTAGCAAATCAAATAATATTTTGTGAATATTTAGCTGTTCTAGACAGACATTAGCTTTCTGCATGGGTTTGCACAGCAAAATGAATACATGAAGTGCACCAATGTCATGTGTCTAATAGACAGCAGTGTATATTGGTAGTTATGAGATGAACCCTATACAACCAAACAATCTGAAATTTAAATTTTATCCTTGGGAATCACCCAAGGATAAAATTTATCCTTGGGTGATTCCCAGGATAAAAAGGATAATACAATATCTGGCAGACTCACAGAAAATGAGATGCAATGAAATTCAGATATGTTACAACAATCCAGACAAATGTAACTGAAATTGCAATTTAAAATTAAATATGGAGTGATAATCAGAATATTAACTGCAATAATGCCATAAATGCAGAAAAGCAATATTTGTAAATCCTGCTATGACTGCAAACTTATTAATTGGGAAAGAGTATTCTCCATGTTTATCTGATACAAGAATAGGAAGGGCAGAGTTTTGAAAGAATGGCAAATATATAAATTTGCAAATTGTAAAAAAGCAGATGTTAGTTGTTCAGCAAGTTAATTGTCCTACCTTGGAACTCCAAGGGAAGTTCTA